TCTATTTACAACCTCAACCCATAGTCATCACAATTTTCTTTGTGTTTTACTGCATCTTGGACTTTTGTGAACTGATCAGCAATATTTTGCTTAGTCATACAATATTCCAGTCTTATTAAACCATTTTTTACAGATAGCCTTACATTCAGATATCTAAGATCTGTATGCTTAGATCTCGTTTTCACAGCAATATTTGTAGCCATCTGTATGGCTGCTTGATTGTCCTCATACACTACAATGGAATCATTAACAGTTATTCCCATATCCAACAACAACTGTTTATACAGAATTAAATCATACATAATAAAGATAGACATGAAAATTCTGCTTCCATTGTGGACATACTTATGTGTTGCTGTCTAACTGACCTCCAACCAATCAATGCTTCCCCTAACAGTATAGCCATTCCTGAAGCTGATTTCTTAGTGTTTATGTCTGTTGCAAAACTTGCATCATCACTCAGTGTAAGCTACAAAAACGTTTATCTCACATATTTTGCCTGCCTGCCTGACTGCCATGCAGATTCTGCTAGGGTGTATCCCTAACAGTGATGAGTGACATCACCCATCCAGTCACATGACCAACTGGCCACGCCTACCCAGCCAGAAAACGGGTTGTTTAAAAAATTTGTAGCTCACCACTGGTTTCACCCCTCACTGTAGGCGCAAATACATCATAATGAACATTTTTCTCTTGTGCGAGGCCTTGGGCAACTAACTTTGCCTTATATTGTACTTTATCATTCACCAAAAGTTTCTTTTTGTACACCCATCTGCATGCAACAGGTTTATGTTCCTCATTGGAGTGAAAAACTCCATCATGAGGTAAATCAAACAGCATGCAGAACACACAGAAGAAAAAGGAGGGAGGAAAGCGGGGGGGTTTCTCCCTGTACACCCCCAGCAACCAGTCATAGCGTAGATTGCCTCGTGCCTGAGTCAGTACTCTCTCTACCTAATCAACTATAACTGTGTGTTCTGGCTATTGCACACTTTGCTGTTCCAGCAAGAGCCGTGGTGGCGCAGTGGTTAGAATGTAGTACTGCAGGACTAGCTCACTGCTCATTTCAGCAGTTCGATGCTGATCAGCTCAAGGTTGACTCAGCCTTCCATCCTTCCAAGATCGGTAAAATGAGGAGCCAGATTGTTGGGGGCAAGAGGCTGACTCTGTACATTGTGTAGAGAGCGTTATTGTTAGGGATATACCCTAGCAGAATGTGCACAGCAGTCAGGCAGTCAGGCGAATATGAGAGAAAGCGTTTTTTAGTTTACACACTCTGTAAAAACGGATACACTGTCTTCGTTGAATAGTTTATTCCATTAAGAGCTTAGCAGGGTCAAACAGTCCAAATATCATTCACCAGTGTCCAGTCAGTTCAGTCCGGAGATTGTTCAATTGCAAAAAATCCAGTGTCAAACAAAGGTCAGTTAACTTACAATGCCAATCCATAAATCAGTCCAGTAAATATCTTCTCACAGTAGATTAGATATGCAGCATTCAAAACTCTTCCCTCCTTCCATGTCAACAACAGGGAACACGCAGAACAATCAACCATCAATCCAGTAGCAATCCAGGTTCTCTAGCTCCCTCTTATGGCAGTTTCTCAACCGCACCCAAATTATAACATTTAGAGTTTAAAGTGAAAAACACACTTAAACTTTGCTATCATGGTTTATATATTATTTACCCAAACAACGTTAGGTAACTATGGTTATTCCTAACAGTTATAAAGCATTGTGAAGCAGTATGTTCTATTGCTATTACTAGCAGTAAGTTCTATTGCTATTACTAGCAGTAAGTTCTATTGCTATTACTACATTCAATATTGTAATATTATGTCTACCGTGCCCTTTGGCGGAAGAACTGATGAATAGGTAGTTCTGACTTATGACCCCAATAGAGCCCAAAATTTCTGGGGCTAAGTGAGACATTTGTTCAGTGAGTTTTGCTCCATTTAACGACTGGCCGCAGTTGCTGAGTGAATCGCTGCACTTGTTAAAATAGTAACACGTTAAGTGAATCTGGATTTCCCCATTGACATTGTTTGCCTGAAGGTTACAGAAGGGGATCACATGACCCCTGGGACACTGCAACCGTCGTAAATATGACTCTGTTGCCAAGGATCTGGATTTTGATCATGTGACCATGGAGATGCTATCATGGCTGTAAGTGTGAAAAATGGTCATAAGTCCCTTTTTTCAGTGACACTGCAACTTCGAATGGTCACTAAATTAACTTGTAAGTTGAGGACTATGTGTATGCACATTAAGGATTCTTTCCTGCGTCTTGTAGCTTAAAGCAGCTTGATTCAATCCTTCTGAATATATTTGTGGGTCTCTCTCTCTCTCTCCTTCCCTCCCTCCCTGTCTCTTTCCCTGCATCTCTCTCCCTTTCCTCCTCTCTCCCTGTCCTCCCTCCCTCCCTCTCTATCCCTCTCCCCTCCCTCTTTCTCTTCTCCCTCCCCCTCTCCCCCTCTATGTCTCTCTCCCTCTCTCTCCCTCCCTGTCTCTTTCCCTCCATCTCTCTCCCTCTCCTCTTCTCTTCCTCTCCTTCCTCTCTCTCTCCCCATCTCTCTATCTCTCTACCCTCTCTCTCTATTCTCCCTCCCCTCTCCCCCTCTCCTCCTCCTCTCTCTCTCTCCCTCTATCTCTCTCTTTCCCCGCATCTCTCTCCCTCTCCTCCTCTCTCCTTCTCCTCCTCTCTCTCTCTCCTCCCTCTCTCCCCTCTCTCTATCTCTCTCCCCCTCCATCTCTCTCTCTGTCTCTCTCCTTCTCCTCCTCTCTCCCTCTCCCCGCCTCTCCCTGTATGTATGTATGTGTAACAGACAGACAGAGAGAAGGGACTTGGCTTATCTTCCTCTTTCTTTCTTTTCTAGCAAGTGACGAAGGATCCAACCATTCAGACTGGGGTAAGTCAGAGGGAGGTGCTACTCCCAAATAAACAAGAGCTATTGTGTTTCTTACCAGGACCTTTTGGCAGGGAGGGGGGAGGTTGAAAAGAGAGCAAATTCCCCCTATTTTTTAGAGGTCTCCTAATACAGCCTCCATGTGTTCCTTCTATGAGTGGTTCTAGTGAAACCAGGACAGGACTGGAGCAAAGGACTCATAAATCTATTGAGATGGAGTCTTAAATTGGGTAGGGTCACTCCTCACCTTTTCCCACCCAATATAATTAAGAGATTGAGTCAATGGGGAAATTGTGGGTCTCCCCGCCAACCCCACATTTACTCAGAGGTCAATAGTTCATGAAGAATTAACATTAATGTACATCAGCATATGAATTGTATAAGAGAAAAGGTTTCTCATTGAAAAGGAGAAATGGGGAAAATACCGGTTTTGGGTTTTTTTGCTTATCCCTAAGGGGTTACCAAAGTGAGGGGGAAGGTTGGTTCTCTGAGTTTGTGAGTTTCATTACCTGGCTAGGTAACATCTTCAGTGGAGTTTACCGGGGATTTGGGCAAGGAGCAGAGAAGCGGACGGAGAGGGCCGGGATCAGCCAGGAATCCGATTTACCGGTGCTCCAAACTACTGAGAATCATAACCGGTTCTATCAAACCAGTCTGAACCGATAGAATCCCAACCCTGGATGTCAGTGTCAGTGTTCTTCTGTTAGCAAAGTCTCCATTTACCTCCTGACAATTTTCTCATTTTTTTTCTTTTTCTTCCTTTTACTCTGTACAACACACTGGAGGACACACCCGGGGGGGGAGGGAGAAACAGGGTCACAGGTGACCGTAAATTACGTGTGGCAGAGTTGGCTTCCTAGGGGTCAATGCTGACATTTATTGCTCCTAATAAATATTTTTGGATTCTTTTGAAGCCTGGCTTGAGGCTCACAATTTAATGAGGGCAATCGTGGGAATCCTGACAATCAATTTGATTCTCCCCTCCCCTCTTTTCCTTGATTTCTAAACAAACAAAGTTACAGAATTCGCTTTCTTTGCGCGGGTTTGTTCCTGCCGAGGAGAAAGGGAAACTCTCCCTGTTGGATTTTCAACCTTCAATCAGACAGGGAAGGCAGCCTAAGAGCTTACCTGGCACCTGCTTTGGAGCAAAGAGCCCTTTAGTTCTGGAATGGGAAATAAGGAAACCACCGGAAAGGCCATGAACCCTAACTGTTAAGAGACCTGTTTTGGTCACATGGCCTGGTCCAGTGGTTATCGGTTTTGTGGGTGTGGCTTGGTGGGCATCGCTTGATGGCTGTGGCAGGGGAAGGATACTGTAAAATTCCCATTCCCTCCCCACCCCACTAACCTGCTTTCCAGCTCCGTTCTCCTGTGCAGGGCAACAAGCCGATCAGCTGGGACTCGAGAGGCAGAGAATCGATGGGGATGGGGCCAATCAAAGGTGGTATTTGCCAGTTCTCCAAACTACTCAAAATTTCTACTACTGGTTCTCCAGAACTGGTCCGAACCTGCTCTATACCAGCTCTGGCTTGGTCTACTTTTAGAGATCCATGAAGCTGCAGGGGTTTAATGCTGAAGAGAAAGAGACCTCGTTAGAGGACCAGGAAAAAAGCAGAGACTCACTCTGTGTCTTTCTCTCCGATGCAGGGAAGAACCAGGCCATTTAGTAGCCTCCTCACAGGTGAGTAGCCCCAGTGAAGGCTGTCTGGGAGGGAAAGGGAGGAGGGGAAATCTTTGAGGTTGAATTGGTGGTGAAGATACTTTGGGAGAACCCTCTTCATCTCAAACACTGCAAGGTAAGGGACTTGGAGGAGATTCAGAGGGGCTCTGGGGAGGGGGGTCTGCCTGCCCTCCCCAACCTCTTATTCTGCAAGGCCAGATTGTGGCACCTCCCAGGATCTGACTGGATGAGGAGGCTCAAAGACCTGCAAAGAGGAGCTTGGAGCGCCCCCAGTGTCAGGGGGAGGGAAAAGGGCAGGTGAAGAACTTCTTGAAGGTCCTACGATCATGGACGGAGTGGGGGCTTCTTCCCCTCCTCGAGTCCATCTGAGAATCCCACCCTCCCGATGCTGAAGGAAGACCCGGACTCTCTCTCTGGAGGTCATGAATCCATTTGCACTTGTTTCTGGAGGCAACGTGGAATTTGAGTTGGATTTGTGACGAAGGGAATAGCAATAATAAATAAATAAACCTAGTAGAATATGTTACAGCATTCAGTAGAAAGTTACTCTATAGGCCTTTGTTATTTTGCTGTTGTAAAAAAAGGATTTCCTCAACCATTCACTTGTTGCAAAACAATGGTAAACTCAAACCATTGTAAACGCGTGCCTGCAATCAGTTATATCCTCCCCCTATTAAGGCACACGATTCTCCCATCTGAATCCATCTGTTTTTCTGGATTGACACATCTCACCCCGGCATCCTCTGGGAATGTAATGCCTCCCAAGCTTCCCAGAGTAATCCACACCTTTGAAGTGTGCTCCTCAAAGGATCAGTTAGGGAGACAACGGGAGAAAAGATAACACAGCCAAAAAGAATCTGTCTGTTGCAGGAAGATGTAAATCTTAGATGACGTGACTAGAGTTTCACAGCTAGTTAGATTATATGACTAGAGATTTACAAGGTAACAGTAATTAGAGAACTAAGAACACAAAGACTTTTGCGTGTATGATATAAGAAGGACAGGACATCTTTCTGTATTTTGTAGAATTTTCCTCCCAGGTTTCTTGTGATGGGCTAGGAAAGTTCTTACCCAGAACTGTAACTTTGATCAAATATAAAAAGTCTGCGGGTGAACAGCTGATTTTGCCACCAAACTGCTTATTTAGTCGCTTTACTCCTGGCTTTATGAAGAAAGACTAGGAAGGGTCCAAGATGAGTTTTGGACAATCATGAACTGAAGGAGAAGGGGTGCATTGTGGCTCCGAGTCCTGAGTCTGCATTCTTAGAGGAAGAGGATTCAGAAGAGGAGGAGGAGGTGGAATTGGGAATGCCTTCCTCCCCAGGACCTTCCTCTTCGGCAATGCCTTCCTCCCTGATTATGCCTCAGGTTTCGGCAGATAACCGAGAGGGACAGCCTGAGGCTAACCAGGAGGAGGAGGAGGAGGGCATATCAGAGCAGCCTTTGACAGAGAATCAAGCAGACGAATGCTGGCTTGATGCTAGGCAACGTCGCAGGAAAAAGGGTGAGATGCAACGCAGGAGACGTGGACGAATCAGAGACGGAGCTGAGTTAGTGACACACCCCACAGGGAATAAAAGTGGGTGTGTTTGCTCTGGGAACTCCGCCCGGGACAAAGTGTGGATTTTTCTGTGGAGCTTCGGTGTATCCTGTTTCTTGAAAGCTTAGTGATTAATGTTTCTGTTATATTGTCGGACTTGGCAGGCAGCGTGTGTGATACTGCCAAGAACATAGCCAGCTCAAAGGAATTAACTCTTTAAGTACTGAATCTTCTTTCCTGCTTGTATTTGGTCGGAGTTTGGACTTCTCATCTTCCTTGTAAAGGTGAGACATAACAGGGTGGGCAGGTGTTACAGGTGTTGTGTCTACCTTATATGCAACTCTGTCATTCCTCTCTATTGTAGCTGTTTCCTATATCGTATTGCCACTCTAGGATTCATTTCTATGGTGAAATAGAGGTCAGGGGTGCTGTACACATCAGTCCGGAGCTCATTTCTTGGCTGCAGAGGCCTTTCCTGAAGGTCTCTTGACAGCAAAATGGAGGCCGGGGGCAATGTGCACAAGAGGTGGCAAGCAGCTGCAGAAGAAGTGGGCTGGCAAGGCAAGTGTTGGGGTGTGCGAAGCCTGGCTGTCCAAAGATAAGTAGCTTCACCCCATCATCCCCACCCTAGCTTGATTTTTACCCATGTGCCTCACCCCACCCCATGCAACTAGGTTCAATGGAGCGGGCGGGATCTTAACTAGGGTTTATTTTGGGGGTAGGGCTTATATTGGTGTCAGGCTTCACCAAAGCTGCTGACAGAATGAAGCCCGACACGTCGCTGTGGTTGGGGGAGAACTATCTACCTTGAAAGTCCCAAATTGATGTCGATGATAGCTGACGGAGCCAGGCGTAACCGCCCTTCCCCACTGCAGTGTGACCAGCTGAGAACATGCCTTATTGGTTGTTCGGCATTTTGCAAAACTCTTAAGTAACACGCCTCCCACTCTTCTCAGCCAGGAAAAACTTCGGGATGTCATTTCGGCTGGTCAGCAATCTGCATAGGAGATATCGAATGGATCGGGGTGGAAGAACGGCACTAGGGGAGGGGGAAGGTATTGTTTGGGGATTTGGGTGATAGCACGCGAGGTTGCTGTAACTGAATGTTGGGTATTTTGCTAAGGGCGTATGTTAGTTAATTAATGGGGGCGGTGAACGGGAAATATAAACAGCACTGAGAGGCAGACGCTCTCAGCGCTGGCTTTACTCGGACTTTCCGTTTGTTGCTACTGATGGAGGAAGCCAAAATATATCACATTGTTGCAGCAAGACTGTGAGTGAAGTGTTTTATTGAACCAGTTTCAGCGACCTCCTGTAGGAGCTGACAATTGGTTGCAAATGTAAAAATCAAGCTACAGGTTTATTTTTGGATAGGTCTTACTTTTGGGAAAACATGGTAGGTCCTTTTAGTATCTTAAAATTCTAAGTTCACAATATTAAACCATGAAGGCCCCACCCCAACCCCCAATCTTCCACATAGACCATGTATACAAGTTATATTTTCGGGATAGGTCTAATTTTGGGAGAAACACGGTAGCTCCTTTTAGTATCATAAAATTCTTAGGCATCAGTTCACAATATTAAACAGGAATGCCCCAGCCCAATCTTCTTAGTTCTACATGGAGAACTCTGCAATGGATACAGGACTCAAGGAGAGACAGAAACACTCCCTCTAATGGCTGCCTTATATAAACACCTCTTAAAATGGTAAAGACATCTGTGGACCCATACATAGTTTTAAAAAAGGCAATACCAATCCTGATTCATCCTCATTGCATCAGCCTTACATTGCACCAGACTTATATTGCATCAGCCTTGCAGCAGCTGGTCAGCTCTTCAATAACAATACCTTAACCAATACCTTTTGCAATAGTGGAGAATATCTGTAGCTCCGGTGTAAGGTGAGGGTGAAGGTTCATTCTCTGAGCTTGTGGGTTGGTTTCTGAACGTTCCATTACCAGGTTAAGTAACATCTTCAGAATTTAGGGGATGTCAGTGTTCTTCTGTTTATGGCTTCAGATGTGGGTGTGTCAAGTAAGGGCCTTGTGATTGGTCTTGTGATAAGGAGATTACATCAGGTCAGGGTCTGGTTGAGGGTGCTGCCTCTGATTGACGGTGCAGTTGATTTTCTCTTCTGGATTTTGTATTTTAATCTTTTTAATTCAATAAAAAAATGTCTTGAAAAAATAATGGAGAGGGGAAAGAAGAGGGGATCAACCTTCTTCTGAATTAGGACGGACTCTTAGAAGGAACTCTTCACGTCCTCCCAAAATGCTGGAATCAGGATGAATCATCATTGTTTTTATCATGAGTCCAAAGCTTTTTTTTTTTAATTATAATTGAGAAACAGAGGAAAGAATCTTATGTGTTTATAATTGTGGAATCATAAGGATTTAAATTGGGTTTAGTACATATTATTTTTATAGAACAGAATAGAATAGAAAATGAATAGAATAGAAATAGAATGGAATGGAATGGAATAGAATAGAATAGAATAGAATAGAATAGAATAGAATAGAATAGAATAGAATAGAATAGAATAGAATTCTTTAATGGCCCAGGGTGATTGGACACACTGTTATTCTTGGATTTGAAGTAAGTCTGTTACTGAACCGTTTTTGATACTGGACTTTGATATTGGAATTATCCCTGAAATGAACATTGACTGATTTACCTGTGAATGAACTTGGATTGCTTGTTTGGACTTTGCTTAAATGTTTACTGAAAGTAAAAACCTACATTAACTGTACAGTGTATCTGTGTGCTGTGTGTGTATTATTCAAACACTTCTCTCACTACGTCTCCCTGTATGCGCTCATTCTCCCAACGGGGAATTACCTCATCACACACAAGGAATTTGTCTTTGATGGATAAGCTCTCAGTGTACATATAAGATATGTAATTAATCATGATCATAGTCATCATAAATACATCATGAATGATAAGATACAACATTTAGTGGTATTCATAGTATACTAAATAAGCAATCAAAATCGTACTAAGAAACTAAATAAAACAATATAAATCATAAGATATAAGCAACAAGGTTATAGTCATATGTAGAAAAGGAGGTAGGTAATAGGAAGGATGAGAAGAAGAATAGTAATACAGACTTAGTAAATAGTTCGACAGTGTTGTGGGAATTAGTTGTTTAGCAGAGTGATGACATGTGGAAAAACTCTTTGTGTCTAGTTGTTCTGGTGTGCAATGCTCTATAATGTCATTTTGAGGGTAAAAGTTGAAACAATTTATGTCCAGGATGTGAGGGCTCTGTAGATATTTTCACATCTTATATTATTATATAGTGTTATATTGTATTATTGCATAATGCATAATAGTATCTCCAATATTTTTTTAAAAGTGCATTCTGAGATTTCTGTCATTAAAGTAGTTAATGTATTTTAATTACAAAATAAGAATTGCACAGTTAATCAACTATCATCCGAGTCTGCCAAATAATCATGATTTTGAGCATGGCACTCAAACACTTTTTTTTCCAGATTTTATCCAGATTGCCATTAGTGGATTTTCATGATGTAGAAAAATGGAACATGAGATTGATTGTACTGCGCTTCTCTTCCTCTAATCATTGCTCCCATTCTGTAAGAATTCCAAAAGTGTTTGCTGAAAATAAATGCTTTTGTTTTCTTCTCACCTGAGTTTGCTGCCTGTTTTGGGTGGTTGAAAATGGGAGGGATTTTACCCTCCTTGTTGCTCAAAGATCCAAATTTCCCTTTGAGTGTGTGGAAGAGGAAGAACCAAGGCAATACTTCGAAGGAACAAGAATTGGGGTATGTGGTCCTTTAGAAAAGAGGCAGCCATTTTGGTCCTGTGTCCAGATATTTCTCCAGTCACCAGCTGATCTTCTATAAAAATGGCTACTTGGTCTTGGCCCAGTGGTGGCAGGAACAGGGGCTGCTTTCCCCTCAAATCCACCTTTGGCCTTAGGCTGTTGACCCAGCACTTATTGCATCTGTAGAGTGTTGCTTGATGGCCCAGTTTAGGGTCATCCGATTTATTTATTTTATTTATTTATTTGATTTGTCAATTGCTTACAAGATGATAGGAATAAGTATAAACGTGAGTAAGAGTACAGGAAATAGGTACGAAAAAACGGGGACAATAGGACAGGGATGGTAGGCACGATTGTGCACTTAGGCACGCCCCTTACAGACCTCTTAGGAATGGGGTGAGGTCAATAGTAGTTAGTTTGAGGTTAAAGGAGTGGGGGGTTAGAGGATGTAAGAACAGAGTCAGGTAGTGCATTCCAGGCATTGACCACTTGGTTGCTGAAGTCGTACTTTCTGCAATCAAGTTTGAAGCAGTTTACATTGAGTTTGTATCTGTTGTGTGCTCTTGTATTGTTGCGGTTGAAACTGAAGTAGTCATTGACTGGTAGGAGATTGTAGCAGATAATTTTGTGTACTATGCTTAAGTATCTGATCCCTTCATGGAGAGGAGAGATGATCATCCTCAGAGCTTTGCAGAAGAGTTCGTGCAACACCTAATGGATAAAATTGCTCAGATTCCTTCTTGGTTGGAATTCAAGCATGGTGCAATTCCATTACAGACGTCCAGGAAGAAAAATGTATCCTCTTATCTGGGAGCAATTTGATCCTGTTGGACCTGGTGGCAGTGGCAGGTAAGTGACCAGGGCTTGCTCGGAGACTCACTCACCGATCCGTGACCAGGGCTTGCTCGGAGATTCACTCACCGATCCGCAAAGGCGTCTCCTTCAGCAATGGCAGGTGGAAAAAGATGGCAGGCGGACAAAGATGGTGGGCGGGCAAGGCAGGCAGCGAGGGCGGGTGGTAGGAGTTGGAACTCAACTGGGGCTGGTGGTGGTGGTGGCAGGTGGGCGACCAGAGCTTGCTTGGTCACTCACCAATCGCGAAGGCAGGCAGCAATGATGGCCGGGCAAAGATGGTGGTTGGGTGGCCCGGGAGTTGGGACTCAACTGGGGCTGGTGGCAGGTAGGCGACAGGGGCTTGCAGAGCTTCACTCGATCAGGCAGGGCCACAGTGGAAGACAGGCCACAATGGTGGGCGAGGATGGTGGGCGGCCGGCCCAGGAATCGGGACTCAACTTGGGCAGGTGGCAGCGGGTAGGCAACCGGGGCCTGCTGAGTTTCATTCATCCAGGAAGATCAGATCAGGCAGCACCACGGCGGAAGGCAGGCCGAATAGCTGGCAATGGCTGCAGGCAGCGACGGCCGGCGATGGCTGCAGGCAGCGACGGCCGGCGATGGCTGCAGGCAGCGATGGCCGGCTCTGGTTGCAGGCAGCGATGGCCAGCTCTGGCTGCAGGTGGGTGGGAGAATGCAGGCAGCAATGCTGCATTCATGAGATGAAGGGCGGGGCCAGCCAGTAGCGCAGTTTGCCGGTTCTCTGAACTGCACAGAATCGTAACAAATGGTACACCCAAACCAGTCCAACCCGGTAGAATCCCACCCCTGACTGTGTTGGTGATTTAAAACTGCAGCGATTCACTTAGCAAACATGTCAAGAGAAAATCGTAAAATGGGGCAAAACTCACTTCACAAAATTTCTCACTTAGCAACATAAATGCTGGGGGCTCAATTGTGGTCGTAAGTTGAGCACTACCTGTATATGTGTTTGCATTCGTTGGTTTACTTACGTGGAAAGTTCAGTGAGCAAATTCCCTCTTTGTGTGCTTGTGTTGGCTTGGCCTGATATTTGTCATCAACTCCCCTTTTGGGGGTGGAAAGGGAAGTGGTTGCGTTTGGCAAGCAACGTGGATCAGCTTCTCACAAGAATGTCCAACTCTCACAGCAAATTGCACTGCTTACCACTCTGTTGAATTTGCTTCAGTCTTTGCCACCAGCAGCTGCAGCAATTCCACCTCCAGGCTGAAAGGTCCCCTTTTGTCAGGGCTCCGACAATCCACCCCCATTTAAATCATGAGTCCCTAGCCCCGTGATGGCGAACCTATGGCATGCATGCCACAGGTGGCGTGCAGAGCCGTTAGTGCCGGCCCACGAGCTGCAGGCAAACTTACCTCTCTGCGCACGCGTGTGCCTCACAGCTGACTTTGGCCAGTTTGAGGCCTTTTTCGGCCTCCCAGAGGCTTGAGGAAGGCTTCTGCAGGCTTCTACGAGTTTTGTAGGCTGAAATCTAGCCCCATTTTGTCACTTCCGGTATTTTCGGAAAAAACAGGAAATGACGAAACGGGGCTAGATTTCAGCCTACAAAGCTTGTAGAAGCCTGCAGAAGCCTCCCTCAAGCCTCTGGGAGGCCAAAAAAGGCCACAAACTGGCCGAAAATCAGCTGTGAGGCGCAGTGCAGGTAAGGGGGTGGCGAGAGGGGGGGAAATTGCACGCACATGCGTAGGGGATGGGGGTGCGCACATTGCCTTCTGGTGCTGGCATGCAAGCTCGAGCGTGCAAGTGCGCGTACAATTTTTGGCACAGGAGCTCAAAAAGGTTAGCCACCACTGCCCTACCCACATCTCTCAAGAGTTTAAAGAAGATTTATTAGGCATGAACGTATCAGTGCTACCTGGGTGTAGCTGACTCTGAGAAACATCATTCATTTCACCCTTGACCCTGGTCTTCCCCCTATCCCCTGGATGTACATTCTCCAATGGGACACATCCATAGCCAAGAGTCATCAATCATGTTCTCCAATAATAGTGTTGTGCACCAGAAGCTTCAGTCGCCTAGAAATTATCTTTGAAGCATTTAAGGAATGCACTACTTCCCGCACTTCCTTTCTGCTGGCAGCTCTAAAAGATGAGAGAAAATGAGTTGACACCATCATTGTTTCTGAGGAATTCAGCAGGACTCAGTGCAAAGTTTACGTAAATCTGACCACCTTTGAACAGGTTGGATTTCCACAACTAGTCTCAGCTTATGAACATTAAGGTGCCCCAAACTTTGGTCATCATATTGTGGTAGCTAGCTGAGGCACGTTGGTGACTGCCTCACTCAATGACCGCTATCCCAGACTCTCCCAGTTGTGAACACTGAGCAACTACACAGATTTTTTAAGTGGACAGAATGAAAGAGCTGACTGCTGGAAGACAGCAGGCAACTGCCCTCTGTGAAGATCCAAGCTTCATATCTTCAGCCCATCAAAGGCCTTTACCACTCCTCTGTGTTACGGAATAGAACCGGTACGCGGGGCCAGAGAAAGGATACTCCAATCACCCCAAAACATGAGCTTCCTTTCTCTCGCCCAACACACTTGTTCCCTTCCCCTCTCCGCGTTTCTACCTTTCAAAGGTATTGCCTTGGGTCACTTTTGACCTACAATGCTAGTGAATGCGATTCTCCTGTATGGTAGAAAGACTTGGAAAAAAACAACAACTTTCCACTGTAGGAAGTTAGCACCCACCCACTCTCCTAGGAAAATGAGATGTTTTAGGATATACTAAAAAGGCAGAATATTTCCCCTAAAAAGAGAAGTAGAAACTCAGAAGCAGAAACTCACCCCCACCTTTGTTAATGGGCGGGCCATTAAGGCCTGGGCCAGAGTACTCTACATAACAAAGGCCTCTACCCATCTCATCACATGGCCTGGGAAGATTACATCAGCCAGCACTCAGATGAAGCCATGGGGTCCAGACAAAGTCTACAAAGTTAGCTAAGACGCACACACCCCCGCCCCTCGGAGTCTGACAGCCAATGGGGTACATTTCTTACACAGGAACAGGAAATACTAAGGTGGAGCCCAACAGAGGGTATAAAATTAAGGGTTTCTCAGCATCTTGGCCCTTCTTTTCCTTCACCCAACATCTTGAAGCATGTCATCGTCCATTTCCCTTTGGAGCTCCAAGCCACGTGGTCTTGTCCACCATTAAACCATCTTTCCAAACAGCCTCCATGTTTCCAGTGTCTTTTTTCCTCACTTGGAACTGAACCCAGAAGGATATTTCTTCCAACACAGACAACCTCAGCTGTGATTCGTATATAGCCCTATGAGAGTCTGACAGCAACCAATAGAATACATGCCCTTGCCACAGGAATAGGAAGCTCAAGGGCAAGGCCCAAGAGAGGCTATAAATAACTCTCACACTCCACTCCGTGTGTTCAGCTGCCCAGGACCTGAAACCCACGTGGTCCTGTCCACCATTAAACCATCTTTCCAAACAGCCTCCATGTTTCCAGCATCTTTCTTCCCCACTTGGAACTGAACCCAGAAGGATATTTCTTCCAACACAACTATTCAGAAAGATCACGTTTGCTAGCTTTCCGGCTGAAAAGCTAGGAAAAACTGAGCAATTCTGGAGGGTAGAAAGTGTGGAAAAAGTCAGAATGATAGCAAACCCAATGTTTTGCATGGTTAAAAAAGGGACTCTAGGCTTCAGAGCGATTCTGAGAAGAGCAATCGCTCTTGTAACATTTGTGAATACTGGTGTTGGAAGGAATATCCTTCTGGGTTCAGTTCCAAGTGGAGAAGAAAGATGCTGGAAACATGGAGGCTGTTTGGAAAGATGGTGTATTGATGAACAGGATCACGTGCCTCGGAGATCTTGGACGAAGAAAAGAGGGAAAAATGCTGAGAGTCTCTGGGTTTTATACCCTCTTTGGCTTTGAATTTCCTGGGGCACAGGAAGAGTATCTTGATTGATTGCTGTCAGAGGTCATAGCTCGCTTTGTAAGTTGCCTGTGTCCTAAGTTTGGTTGAAACTTGGTGGATGGTGCAATGAAGGGCGATTAAACGGCTCTGCCTGAAGGAGGGAGATCTTTGTTATGTAGAATGGACTGGTCCAGGCCTTAATGGCCCATTAACAAAGGTGGGGAGGGGAGGGGCCGAGTTTTTGCCTCTCTGAGTTTCCACTTCTCTTTTAGGGGAAATATTCTGCATTTTTTAGTATATCTTAAAATATTTAATTTTTCTAGGAGCGGGGTGGGTTTTAACTTTCAGCATTGGAATACTGCATCCAGTTCTGGTCACCACCATGTCAAAATGATATTGAGACTCTGGAAAGAGTGCCGAGAAGAGCAACAAGAATGATTAGGAGGAGGGAGGCTAAAACATGCGAACGGTTGCAGGAATTGGGTTTTGTTAGTCTAATAAAAAGAGGGACTGGGGTGGTGGGGACATGATAGTGTAGGAAGTTAGCGCCCACCCCTCTCCTAGAAAAATGAAATAGCCTAGGAAATATTAAAAAGGCAGAATATTTCCCCTAAGAAGAGTAGAAACTCAGAAGCAGAAACTCACCTCAGAAGCAGAAGATCACCCCCCACCTTTGGCAGTGGACCATTACTCCGGCCCAGGCCTGCCTATTTTACATAACAAAGATCTATTCCAGCTATAATAGGAATTGCCCAAAGCCCCTTTCATTACATCATCATCCAGCAAGGCTCAACCAAGCCTGGGAATCAGGACAGCCTATAGAGTTGCTCCTGCATGGCCCCATGGGAGTCCGACAAACCAATCAGAATACAAGCTCAAATTCAAATCCCATCAGAGGGGATAAAACCCAGGCACTCTCAGCATCTCCTTCCTTCTTTCTACACCCAAGGGATGTGATCCTGTCTACCATTAAACCATCTTTCCAAGCAGTCACCATGTTTCCAGTGTCTTTCTTCCTCACTTGGAACTGAACCCAGAAGGATATTTTCTTCCAATGATAATTGGGGAAATAGGGGAAATATTCTGCCTTTTTCAATATCTCCTAGGATATTTCATTTTTCTAGGAGAGGGGGTGGGTGCTAACTTCCTACAGTAGCGCTGTACCAATATTTAGGGGCGAGGGGGCTCAAACTATTTTCCGAGGAAGTAAACGACAAAGCAAGAAATAACGGAGGGAGACTTAACCAAGGAGAGACCCAACCTAGAACGGAGGAGAAATTTCCTCACCGTGAGAACAATCAAGCAATGGAGTGCCTGACATGCGATCAGATGATCTGGGGTTGGAGCAATGTGGCAGTCAAAACTTCTAAGAAATTGATGTGGAAATCATAACTTCTAAGAAATTGATGTGGCAATCAAAACTTCTAAGTAATTGATGTGGCAATCATAACTTCTAAGTAATGTTAGAGGAACCGGCCTGGAATGGGAGAGTAGCGCAGATCCTGCAGCCTCTCCTGCATTTGTGCCTTCCTACTGTCAGTCATATTCAGCAACAGGATTCACACAAACAGGTCCAGTATGTTGTGCCCGTGTTGTTTCTGTCTCCACACATGTCCATCCCGGAGTTTGTGCATGAATCTTCTGTTTGAACAAGATCTTAAACTAAAAACAGACAAAGGTTATGCCTGCTCACATGCCCCATGGAAGGCTAATCACACAGCGGGAGATGGTTCAAGCCAGTGGTGGGGTTCGAATTGGTTTTACTACCAGTTCAGTTGGCGTGGCAATGGGAAGGATATACTGTAAAATCCCCAAAATCCCTCCCCACCCCACTAACCTGCTTTCCAGCTCTGTTCTCCTGTGCAGGGCAACCAAAGAAGAGCCAGCCGATCAGCTGGGACTTGGGAGGCAGAGAATATAGGGGGGTGGGGGGCAGTCAGAGGTGGAATTTGCCAGTTCTCTGAACTACTCACCGCTACCGATTCTCCACTGAATGCCACCTGTGGTTCAAGCCCTGTGGGGGGGACACCATTGCCTCTTACTCCTATTTTTGCTCATCATGGGAACTGTAAAAGCACCACCATCCATTCTTTATTGACTAAATGTGACCATCGTAATAACAACGATCATAACCCGAAGAGGAATTTATCGTGTTTGGGATAATCCAAGGATTATTATTTATTGTGTTTGGGATAATCCAAAGAATCACCCGAACCACCACATCTTCGTCAATTGGAGGGAAAGTGAAAAGCGTTGGAAGTTTCCTGAAGAAATATCCCTGGGCTTCTTCGCTGGAGAAGAAAAAGGAAAGAGAGAAATTCATGCATTGTACATTAATTGAGTTTGGTATCCTCGACTTTTTCCCATAGAAAGACGCCTCTTCGCCTTGAAGGTCCCCCAAAGCGCCTTTGAGCGTTTTCATCCAGACTACAGTAGTCTCCAGACTTGGCAACTTTTTTTTTAGACTTGGGGACTTCAACTCCCAGAATTCTCCAGCCAACCATGTTGGACTAGATGATCTACAAGGTCCCTTCCAACTCTGATTATCTCTTAATGTAAGGGGCTCACGCGCTTTTTCTGCTGGCGGGAATCTATCCATCCATCTGGCTGGAGAATTCTGGGAATTGAAGTCCCCAAAGTCTTAAAGTTGCCAAGTTCGGGGACCACTTGGGCGTTTCTGATCTCCACTAGATCCCAGGCTGCGAGAGGCTGTGGAGGGTCTGAAGGGGGCCCCTCGCCCCCACCCCCAACTGCGCCCAGATAACTCTCCCTCGGTTTTGACCTCCCACAGATCTCCCCCAGGACGAAGAATTCGTGGAACGGGACATTTTTGAATGCTGACACACACGAAACTTTCCCGCTTCCCTTTTTCCAGTTTTTTTCCGTTAGAAGTCATATGGGAACTCACCACCACCACCACCAATTGGTTGAGCTTGGCCAATCGCCTTGCTCGCTTTGGGATGATTATTGCTCTAAATGATCTCTCCAAGCGCCTCTTCTTTGGCAGGGACTTTTCAAGAGAGCGCAAGCACAGTTGGAGGATTTTGGGGACAGAGAGGATGGCTCTGCGCTCTGCGCCCGTGTGGCTCCTGGTATTGGAGGTGGTCGCTCTGCAGCACGCGTGCCTCGGTGAGCTCCTTCCAAGAGTCCCGTTTCATTTGACACTTTCGAGAAGAGATTGGATTCCTCCCATCTGTCAGAAATGCTTGGGCAGTAGGTTGGACTAGATGACCTACAAGGTCCCTTCCAACTCGGATGATCTCTTAATGAAAGGGGCTCAAGCGCTTTTTCTGCGGGTGGGAATCTATCCATCCATCTGTTTGTCTGTGTGTGTCTGCCTGCCTGCCTGGCGCTCTCCCTCTGTGCTGCCGCTCTCTCTCCCACTCTCCATCTCCCCGAGACCCTCTAGGAGCAGGACCAGATGGTCCCTCCAGATGTCAGTCAAGTGTACCCGCGCAATTCTTTCCATCCCACCCTGGAGGTTGTGGGATGGCAAAGCTCGGACGAGACCTCGTCAACTCGCAAACTTCCCTGGCGGCCTTTGCACCTCCCACCTTCACCGCTAGGGGCACGTCTAAGGCATAGAACAGAACAGAATTCTTTTATTGGCCAAGTGTCATTAGATAGACAAGGAATTTGTCTTGGTGCAAATGCTCTCAGCGTAAAGGAAAGGAAAGATACATTTGTCAAGAACCATAAGATTAGATTAGATTAGATTAGATTAGATTAGATTAGATTAGATTAGATTAGATTAGATTAGATTAGAATAGAATTTAGAATAGAATAGAATTTAGAATAGAATAGAATAGAATTTAGAATAGAATTTATTGGAATGAAAAATAGCATAGCATAGATTAGCATAGCATAGCATAGAATAGAATTCTTTTATTGGCCAAGTGTGATTGGGCATACAAGGGATTTGTCTTGGTGCAAATGCTCTCAGAGTACATAAAAGGAAAGATACATTTGTCAAGAACCATAAGATTAGATTAGAATAGAATAGAACAGAACAGAATAGAATAGAATAGAATAGAATTCTTTATTGAAAAAGTATGATTCAACACACAAGGAATTTGTCTTGGTGCAAATACTCTCGGTGTACATAAAAGAAAAGATATATTTGTCAAGAGTCAAGAATCATCGTGTACAACACTTAATAATAGTCATAGGGTGCAATAAGCAATCAAATCATACAAGCAACAAAGTTAGTCATAGAGTCACAAGTGAGAGGGGATGGGTGATAAGGAGTGATGAGGAGATTAATAGTAATAGCAGTGCAGACTTTGGAAATATTTGGACAGTATTGAAGGAATTATTTGTTCAACAGAGTGATGGCTTTTGGGAAAAAACTGTCCTTGTCTCTAGTTGTTGTGGTGTGCGGTGCTCTATAGCGTCGTTTTGAGGGTAGGAGTTGAAACAGTTTATGTCCAGGATGTGAGGGGTCTGTAAATATTTTCACAGCCCTCTTTTTGACTCGTGCAGTTTACAGGTCCTCGATGGAAGGCAGGTTGGTAGTAATCGTTTTTTCTGCAGTCCTAATTACACTCTGGCGTCTGTGTCTGTCCTGTTGGGTTGCAGAACCAAACCAGACAATTATAGAGGTGCAGATGACAGACTCAATAATTCCTCTGTAGAACTGGATCAGCAGCACCTTGGGCAGTTGGAGCTTTCTGAGTTGGCGCAGAAAGAACATTCTTCGTGGTGCTTTTTTGATGACGTTTTTGATGTTAGGTGTCCATTTTAGGTCATGTGATATGATAGAACCTAAAATTTTAATACAGATAGTCCTTGACTTTACAATGTTTCATTTAGTGACCATTCAAAATTACAACTGTTCTGAAAAAAGTAACTTATGACCACTTTTCACTTTTATGACTCTTCAGCACCTCCATGATCATGTGATTTACATTCAGATTCTTGGCCACTGACTCACATTTGTGACAGTTGCAGTCCCCCACTTTTGCGACAGTCTGACAAGCAAACTCCATGGGGAACCTAGATTTATTTAACAACCGTGTCACTAATGAACAACTGCAGTGATTCAGTTTTAACAACTGCAGCACGAAAGGTTGCAAAATGGGGCGAAACTCACTTAACAAATGTCTCAACTGGCGACAGAAATGTTGGGCTCAAGTGCAGTCATAAGTTAAGGACTGTCTGTGCTATCTCCTGTTATACCTTATGTAACCAATGATCCGTATCTGGAAAAAATATTCGTATTCATCAAATATAAATATATATATGAAATATAGAGGTCAAGGTAAAGGTCCCCCTCACACATGCGTGCTAGTTGTTTCTGGCTCTAGGGTTTATCTTAGGCCAATTTTTTAAAAAATGAAAATATTATGCATCTAGTGAGGAGGACATGGAAACAGCTGGTGAGTTTGGCAAAGCAGGAGCAGATCGCTGACAGCTTTTGAAGATTTAGTGGTCCCTTACTGATCCCGTTCAAAAGCCCAGCCCTATGTATAGCTCTATATTTAGACCAGGGCAGTGGTGGAATTCAAATTCATTCCCTCCCTACCCGACTAACCTGCTTTCCAGCTCCGTTCTCCTGTGCAGGGCAACCAAAATGTCAGCGTTCCGAGGAACCTCCATTCCAATCAGTAACTCCGAGACAGGCATAATCTCAAAAGTACCTTTATTAGACTAGCACCTGACACATCTGGGGAATCTCGAAACTAAAAGTTTTCCGGACTTCCCACAATGTCCCAAACTACAAACCATCCCCCTTTCCCTCATCATCACATCACGTGGACCAATCCCAAAGTAAGTTCCTTTTTTCCTACGCCACACTTTATGACCGTGAACGAACAAAAGAATTCTATTTTGTCTACTAAGAGCTACTCAATTAAAATCACCCTACTCCCACTTTCTCAAGCTATGTGGCAGCGTTGAATAAGGTTTCCAAAGCTGACACAAAGAAGACCCAGCTGATCAGGCAGAGAATAGATGGGGGCGGAGCCAGTCAGAGGTGGGATTTGCTGGTTCTCCGGACTACTCAAAATTTCGGCTAGCGGTTCTCCAGAAGTAGTCAGAACCTGCTGAACCTCTGCTCCAGTCCCCTAATCATCTTTGTTGCTCTTCTCTGCACTCTCTCTAGAGCAATGATGGCTAACCTTTTGTCATCGCGTGCCGAAAGTGTGCATGTGTGTGCGCGTGCCGGCACCCATAATGCAATGCGTGCACGACCCCCCCGTGCATGTGCCTCCCTGTGCGCACCGTGCACCTCTGCGCATGTGTGTGCATTTCCCGTACGTGCCCCGGCCCCCCGCGCATGTGCAGCAGATACCCAACAATCAGCTGGCTGGTGGGAGGCGCACATTTATGCACAGTGGACCTGATCTGGGCGACAGCTCGCGTGCCAGCGGAGTTGGCTCTGCATGCCATAGGTTTGCCATCATGGTTCTAGAGTAGCAACATCTTTTTTACATCATAGTGACCAAAACTGGATGCAATATTCCAAGTGTGGCCTTACCAAGGCATTATAAAGTGGTATTAACGCTTCACGTGATCTTGATTCTATCCATCTGTTTATGCACGATAGACCTGTGTATATATTTAGGATGTGAAATACCCTCCGCCACTCCCCAGAATTTAAATCATGAAAATTGTATAAAGTGAACTTTATTCAGGGGCCAGAAATAGATTTTAAGGCAACTGCCAAACACCATAATTGTGCTAAGTAATTCATTCGCAGCTAAGGGTTTTTACGGTATCAAGCCTTGTGCTGTCCAGATAGTATATAGTTAATTGAGAATTGGGATAGTTAAGTGGGAATTGGGGAATGCCTCATGGTAAATGCAGTTAATGCATTCATGGGAAATGTAGTTCATGTCATGTGGTCACATCTGTAATCCTGATTGGTCACTGAATTGACCCTTGGTTGGGTTGGGGGAATTTCCTTTACTCTTGCTTAGACCCCAGCACTGCGCTGGTGTCTCACCCTTTGCTCCATCGTTAAGGGATGAAGATCACTATAATTTCACACTATGAAGTCAGCTGTGCAAAGATTTGGACATTAGATGAATCTCAACATAACGGTGAGTTATACCTTGAGAATGCCTTGTGATCCAATAAAGAAACTTTGTACGGAAGCCTTTGTAGAGTTTGCCTGTCTGTCTTTATATTCGGCCAGCAATTAAAAAGACAGAACAAGCCTGGTTTGCAATATCTCCTCAGGCCAGGGAGAGTGGAATCTCCGAGAGAATCCCAGCCTTGTAAAACATCAAGAAAGGTAGAAATGTCCCCTCATTCTGCTCGGGAGGACAGTGATCAGGGCTAATTAACTCTCCACATGATCAGCAACTCCCAGTGTAAAGGCCTAGATCAGAGTTTCTGGAGTAGATTTGATTCTACAATGATGGGTTTCATAGGTTTGCGTTTCTTCATCATATTATCTTCTTTTCTCAGTGGTGTTATTACTATCTTTGTCGATCTTTGGCCTTAACAAACTTTCTTTCGAATTGGATTAGAAAAAAACAAAAACATGTCGTTCATAAAGTGATGGATTTCGATGAAAGAGAGCCATATTCTGGTTGAATGTTTTGGTAAGAGCAGCTGGACAGGGCAACCATTTGTCCAGAGAGCTTGGGGGCTCCTCTTTGCTCTAGAGGGCCAAGCAGAGGCGAGGCACATATTTTGGAGAAGAAAAAAGGCTTTCGTTTTGTCAGTATACAAGAAATTATGAGCTGGAATAGACATGGTACCAGGTCAGCCAATGGGGACTGTTTGGATAGACATGGTAACAGGTCAGCCAATAGGGACTGTTTGGAAATTTTTTTTTCTTATGTAGATGAATCCTGCAGAATTATTCACTTGTACAGATAATCAGAGTTGGAAGGGACCTTGTAGGTCATCTAGTCCACCTCACCCCCTGCCCAAGCGGGAGACCCTACACCATTTCTAACAAATGGCAGTCCAATCTCTTCTTGAAAGTCTTAACTGATGGCGCTCCCACAACTTCCGAGGGCAACTTCTGTTCCATTGGTTGATTGTTCTCACTGTCAGAAAGTTTCTCCTTGTTTCCAAGTTAAATCTCTCCTTGTTCAGTTTCCATCCATTATTCCTTGTCTGGTCTACAGGAGCTTTAGAAAATAGCTTGACCCCTTTCTCCCTCTGGCAGCCCCTCAAATATTGGAAGACTGCTATCATGTCTCCCCTGGTCCTTCTCTTCCCTAGACTAGCCAGGCCCAGTTCCTACAGCCGTTCATTATATGTTTTAGCCTTCAGTCCCGTAATCATCCTGGTTGCTCTTCTCTGCACTTTTGCTAGAGACTCAACATCTTTTTTATAATAGGGTGAAAAAACTGGATGGAGTACTCTAGGTGTGGTCTTACTAAGGCTTTATAGAGTGGTATTAGTACTTCCCTTGATCTTGATTGTATCCCTCTGTTAATACAATTTAGGATTGCATTAGCTTTTTGGGTTGCTGCTGCACACAGCTGGCTCTTATTTAGCTGGTTGTCCACTAAGACTCCAAGAAACCCTCTCACAGTTACTGCTATTGAGCCTGGTTTCACCCAGTCTATATGTGTAGTTTTGGTTTTTCTTGCCTAAGTGTAGGACTTTACTTTTCTCTACATTGATTTTCATTTTGTTAGATGTGGCCCAGTGTTCTAGTCTGTCAAGATCCATCTGGATCTTGTTCTTAGGTGTTATGTTCTTATGTTCTCTATGTTCTTAGGTGTTAGCTATTCCTGCCAGCTTAGTATCATCTGTGTATCATTTGGTAGGTTCCCCTTCTATTCCCTCATCTAAGTCGTTAATGAAGATATTGAAGAGTACTGGGCCTAAGACGGAACCTTGTGGCACCCCACTGCTTACTTCCCTCCATGTAGACTTAGACCCGTTAAGGACTACTCATTGAGTACGGTTTGCCAGCCAGTTGCGAATCCATCTAGTGGTGGTGCTATTTCACTTTTTTCTAGCTTCTAAGAAGTAGGTTGTGGTCTACTTTATCGAATGCGTTGCTGAAATCTAAATACATTATGTCCACAATATTTGGCTGGTCTAGTAATTTAGTCACTGTGTTGAAGAATGAAATAAGATTGGTTTGGCATGATCTGTTTTTAACAAACCTGTGCTGACTGCTAGTTATTACTTTACTTGTTTCTAGATGTTGGCAGATCTGTTTTTTATTATCTTTTCCAGTATCTTCCCAGGTATTAATATTAGGCTGATTGGTCTATAGTTTCCTGGGTCTGTTTTTTTTTCCCCTTTTTTGAAGATGGGAACCACATCAGCTCTTTTCCAGTCCTCTGGTAGTTCTCCAGTGCTCCAGGATTTTTGAAAGATATGGTGCAGTGGTTCTGAGATGACCTCTGCCAGCTCCTTTAAAACTCTGGGATGTAATCCATCAGGCTCCGGTGATTTGTTTTCATCAAGATCAGACAGGTGTTCTCTTACTATTTTTTTTGCTTATTTTAACTTTTATTTCTGGTCTGTCTTTTACAGTTATGTTTTTGATGGGTTGAGCTATAGTTTCTTTTTGCGTGAAGACAGATTGCGTGAAGACCCCTTGTGTGCTGGTCGGATGTGCTGCAGATACTCTGACACATTTCAATTCCTATCTTGAGTAATGGGTAGCCTAGAAATGACCTCGGTAGCTCTTTTCATAGAATAGAAATAGAATTCTTGATTGGCCAAGTGTGATTGGACACACAAGGAATTTGTCTTGGTACATATACTCTCAGTGTACATAAAAGAAAAGATACATTCGTCAAAGAGTCAAGAATCATCAGGGACAACACTTAATAATAGTCATAGGATACAATAAGCAATCAAATTGCCAGGTGAGGTGCATGGGGCAAGTGAGACAAGTTTCGCACTTCTGCTCTTTCCCCCGCTCACCTCACTACCTCATGTTGTTCCTAATGCAAGCAACGCAAGCCTTGTGTTCCCATGGGCCATGTGGGAGACGCAGCCTTGTATTCCCACGCAGCCTGGATTAATTGCTTTGGAGATGCTTTGGGGGTGACATTTCTCTGCAGACCAAATTTTCTTGCAGACCACCAGTGGTCCCTGGCTAGTTTTTGGCCTTCTGGAGCCTCCAGGAGGCCCGTTTTTCACACTCTCTGAACCTCCGTGTGGGCCCTGTACTTACCTGAGATCCAAAACAGGATGCATGGGGGCTCCTGGGAGGGGCATGGTGGGGTAGGGCGGGACCAGCCAAGGGTGGGATTTACTGGTTCACTGAACCGGCCATAAAATTACCTACTGGTTCACCTGGGGCAAACTGGTAGCAGCCCATCCCTGCTCCACATCCTCCCCAGGTCTCTTCCTCTTTTTTCCAGGTCTAATAATGGGGCCATCTCTGCCCCATAGCATCAGAGTCTCCCTAGCAGAAGCCCCCTAACTTTGTCCCTCTGGGTCTTTTTTCAGGCTCCTCCTCACATTCTCTCAAGGTTCTCTTCTTCGCCATCTCGGAGCCCAATCAGAGGCTGTCCTACTCCATTGTTCTGGGCTATGTGGACAGTCAGATCTTTGCTCGCTATGACAGCAACAGCAGGGAGATTCAGCCTCAAGTCTCCTGGATGGAGAAATTGAGGAAGGATATTCCCCAATACTGGCAAGCTCTGACTAATTTAGTACATGCCGAAAATGATATGTTCAGAAATGACCTGGAGGATTGGAGGAGTGACTACAATAAGGACAAAGGTGAGTGATGGGTCGGGTGGCTCTTCCTGCCCTATATTCCCTGCCAATAGCAGGAGAGGGGAGGAAAGTGGGTGGCTCCCAGATTAAGTGCTGTTTCCTACCCTTTTTAAAATATTATTTAGAAAATACGTTTATTGTTTTAAAAATTATCACGTTTATCCTTGCCCCATACCTGAAGTTTTCTGGGGATGTTATAATTATTAAAGGTGGATGGGCAATCAAAATGTGATAGATGATAGATCGACAATAGATCAGGGGTCAGTAACCTGCAGCTCTGGAGCCGCATGTGGCTCTTTCATCCCCCTGCTGCAACTCCCTGCCGCTCAAATATGTGTCACCACTGTCAATGTGTGACACCCGCTGGTATGTGATTTATTGAGCTTTTCGACCCCTAGTAGGCCAATCATGGGTAAATCCAAGAAAAGAAGTTTCAGAAGAAAACAGAATGTTTAATTCAACTACATATGCTAGTCTTGTGGCTGCTCAGGAAATAGGCACTTGGAAGGGTTTTGGGGCCTCCCAGTGTTTTCTGTGGGAAACGGGTTCCGGCTCTTTGAGTGTTTAAGGTTGCCAATCCCTACAATAGAGAGAGAGAGAGAGAGAGAGAGACAGACAGACAGACAGACAGACAGACAGACAGACAAATATGAAACATATAGGTTAGAAATAAGATATAAAATTTATATATGTATATGATTAAATAGAAATTGTTGAAATGTATGAATATTTGAAATGTATGAATATAGCTAAGATTTTTGTACTGTCAAAGAACGATAGTGCATTGTACAAACTTATTTTCTTTATAGATATATTTGTATTTTAATATTTGAATCTCAATAAAGGTTTTTTATTTTTATTTTAAAAAAAAAGATAGACAGACAAATACATGTTAAAGTTAAAAAAAAAAAGCAGTATAGGACAGGGGTGATATAAAATGAGGTAAGGAGGAGGAAAGAGTGTGCTCGGGCTTGGTGGACAGAATGAAACCTTTAGGCTGTGCCCACTTCACCTAAAGGTCCTAGACCCTTGGTAGACATCCTGCTGTGAAGGAGGAAGGGAATGACAGGTTTCCCCCCAGTGATTCCTAGGAGGCTCCTGGTGAAAGGTCCTTCTGTCTGTTTCCACACCAGAGAAATAAGGGATCACATTCCCCTTGATCCCAATGGGGACACCAGATCCCCACCAGAATCATTCCATCCAAGGAGAAGCATTTATGCCACCCCTTTATTGGAGGGGTAAATAAACAATCAATTAATCAATCAGAATAGAATGGGGCTTTTGAGGTCTTCTAGTCCAGTAATCCCAACCAGTGGGCGGGGGACCACTGGTAGTCCGTGAGAAAATTTTGGTGGTCTGCAGAGAAATGTCAACCTCAAAGCAATTAATCCAGGCTGTGCGGGAACACAAGGCTGAGCCACCCACATGGCCTGTGGAAACACAAGGCTTGCGTCGCTTACATTGTGAACAACACGAGGTAGTGAGGGGAGGGGGGAAAGGGCAGGGGGGAACTTGTCCCACTCACCCCATGCGCCTCACCTGACCACCGGGCTGCTTCTTTCTGCTTCTTTCTTCTTCTGCTTTTGGCTGCACTCAAGGAAACCAGCAAAAATCTTTTTTTTTCTTGCCCAAACACCACCAGAAATGAGTCTTTGGGACCCTGCAAGGCATCCTGCTCCAAGAAGCTGCGCCAGTGCGACAAGTCTCACAAAGACTCATTGCTGGCAGAGTTTGGGGGAGAGAAAGCAAGACTTTTGCTGCTTCTGCTGCTTTCCTTGCATGAAGCCAAAAGTCTCTCTCTCTCCCCCTCCCCCCACCGCACCCACTCCCAGAGAATGGAACTGGAGACCGTATCCTGCGATCCCAAATCAAGAATGATCAATCAGTAGGAAAACAGAGTGCGGAATTTTCCTCCAGACTTTTTTTCCTGCAGCCACTGTCAGTCAAAATTCATATTAGTGGTCTGCGGGATTTAAAATTATACATTTGGTTGTTCCTTGAGGTCCAAAAGGTTGGTGTTCCCCCTGTTCTAGTCCAACCCATGCTCAAGCAGGAGAACCAAGTGTGGAGTCCCTTCGCCTCTGGATGGAAGAAGTGGCCAGGGAGGCTAAGTAGGATGGGGGTGGGGTGGGGGGGCTCTTGAAGGAACATAGGTCAACTCCCACATCCATCCTCGCAGGAGGCGGGGGGGATAGAAAAGAAAGAGGCTCCTCAATTGATTCCCTTCCTGAGCAGCCAGAGCTGTTGTGGCTTCAAGTCAGGCTCTGCTCTCCTGGTGGGGCTCCTTTAAGAAGGGAAACACACACTCCCTTCTGCATCTGTGGGGGGGAAATATTCACTTTCAAAGAACCTTATTTGGGGGATCGTTGCAAGCAAATATGTTTGCTTCTCTTGAGGGTTTGACATGGGGTTTGGGGGTCGCCTCTGCCCCTCTCCCCACTTCTGGTCATTTGTCTCTGCATTGAGCCTCCAGAAAGGATTTAGGGCTCTGTGAATCCGAGGTAAAGATGGTGCTGCTCAGTGGTGGTATTCAATTTTTTAAAATTTTTGATTCAATTTTTTTTCTGTGGGTGTGGCTTGGTGGGCGTGACAGGAAGATACTGCAAAATCTTCACTCCCTCCCCACTCCACTAACCTGCTTTCCAGCTCTGTTCTCCTGTGCAGGGCAACCAAAGAAGACCCAGCCAATCAGCTGGGACTCGGGAGTCAGAGAATAGATGGGGGCGGGGCCAGTCAGAGGTGGTATTTGCCGGTTCTCCGAACTACTCAAAATTTCCACCACCGGTTTTCCAGAGCCTGTCAGAACTGGCTGAATACCACCTTTGGTGCTGCTGCTTCTCCTTTTGCCCAGAAGGAGCCTTTGGGGGAGGTTAAAAAGAGAGGAAAATGGGAGAGGGGAATGTCTGGAGACTCTCAAAATGTGACCCTCAAGTTTTTGACAGAAGAGGGTGTAATAAGGAAAATACCTAGAACTGCGATGGCGAACCTATGGCACGCGTGCCAGAAGTGGCACGCAGAGCCATTTCTGCCGTTACGCAAGCCGTCACCCAAAACAGATCCACTGCGCATGTACGCATGTCTCCCACCAGCCAGATGATTGTTGGGTATCTACCGTGCATGTGTGGAGGGGCGGGGCGCTTGCAGGAGGCACATGCATGTGCACAGGGGAGTGGAGGCGCACAAGGGGGTCACGCACGCATGCGCAGAGGTGTGTGGTGGCCACACATGCATGTGTAGGGGGTGGGGGTGTGCATGCATTGCATTATGGGTGCAGGCACATGTGTGTGCACGCGCACACTTTCGGCACACGATAAGGCAAAGGTTAGCCATCACTGCACTAGAATGTGCAGAAATGAACAGATTAATACTTGCAATTAAAGAGAAGGAACAAACTGAATATTATCAGATACAGGAATTATTTTATCAATGGCTAGAGAAAAAAATATGAAAGCTAGAAATAATTATTAGACTATTGAAATTCAGAAAATATATTAGTAGAATACAATCTGTAAAGAAGAGAAATGTTATAGGAATAGAAATAATTTATATACTAATATGGTAAGAATAGAGAATTAATATTAAAATAATGAATATGGCTGTAAAATTTAACTGTTATGGCACAAGACATTTGTAACCTGACGACACACCGTTAAATGAAAGATGAATTGAATGTATGCATTTTAAGTTAAATAAAATAAATTATTTAAAAAAAAAAACTTTAAAAGAAAAAAGAAAAAAATGTGATTTGGGGGTAGGGTGAATGGGGAGGCTCAATGTCTTATCCAAAGTGACCTGAGTAGCTTCGTGAGGAAAAATGTATTTCTTTCATTTTCCAGTCGTTATTTGTCCCTTTACTTGCTGGCTCCCTCCTGAATCAAAATCCATGCCAGAATTGAGATGTCTGTCTCTCCTGATGACTCCTCAAACCATAATCCTGTTCCTCTTTCAGGCCTTCATATGCTGCAGGGCATCCTAAGCTGTGATCTCCAGGGAGATGGGAGCAAAAGACAGTTTGTGCAGGGGGCTTATAATGGGGTGACTATTAATAAGTCTAACATGGATGCGTGCAACATGGAGTACTGCATTTGCATTGAGTTGCTAGAGAAGTTCCTGTCTTACGGGAATGAGACGCTGCTGAGGACAGGTGAGTATCTACATCCAGGCTGGACTTTCCTCTTTTCTGTTCTGATTTCTTGCACATATTTTGCCCCCTTTGGGTCCCTGGTCTGCATTCTTTCTGTCCAGGAGGCAATCCTACTCTTCTCCCTCCAGCAGGTCTCCAGGACACAGGAAGCCATTCAATGGAACATGAAGGGCAGCCTCTGGCTGGTGTGTCTCTGTGGATCAGGCTGCAAAAGCACTTAGGGGTGTCCTCTTCACAGCCCATAATGAGGCAATGGGGCCACTTGGGGCTATTCGCTGTGGGACAGCCAGTTTGTGGCCAATTTGCTGTGGGACAACTCACTACAGGAAAATTCCACATGGGATATCTCAGTGTGATAAACGCTATCTGCCTCTGTTTCTTGGACATGCTTTCCACTTTTTTCAAACATTTAAGCACTTCCTAAAACTCTTGGAGATGCTGCAGTTATAGAGCATTAAATCCATGCATTTAAACCAAGTAGTGGGAGGTTTTTTTTCTGCCTGTCAGGCTCTGGAGGAGCTCAGAGTTAATTCCGGTGATGCCGTTTCTCTAGAGACTCCGACGGTGACAGTGAGCAGCAGGACGGAGGTGGAGGATGGGATGGAGATGCATGTCTGCCGGGTCCACGGCTTCTACCCCAGGGAGATCGATGCCTCCTGGACGAGGGACGGGGAGGTCTGGCTACAGGACACTCTTCACGGGTCTATAGCCCCCAACACGGATGGGACCTACCACTACTGGCTCAGCATCCAGATTGATCCCAAAGAGAGGGGCCGCTATCGGTGCCACGTGGAGCACGACGGCCTGCAGGAGCCTCTGGACCTGGCCCTGAAGGGTGAGAGGCTGCAGGGAGGGGAAGGCTGGGCTCTTTGGCAGGCTGGAAGGTGGTGGGATAGGAATAGAATTCTTTATTGGCCAAGTATGATTGGACACACAAAGAATTTGTCTTGGTGCAAACACCCTCAGTGTACATAAAAGAAAAGATACATTCATCAAGAATCATAAGGTACAACACTTAATAATAGTCATAGGGTACAATAAGCAATCAAATCATACTAGGAAACAATCAATAAAAATTGTTAAGATACAAGTAATGTTACAGTCATACAGTCATAAGTGGGAGGAAATGGGTGAAAGGAAGGATGGGAGGATTAATTGTAATAATAGTAACGCAGACTTAGTGAATAGTTGGACAGTATTAAGGAAATTATTTGTTTAACAGAATGATGGCATTTGGGAAAAAAACTGCCCTTGTGTCTAGTTGTTCTGGTGTGCAGTGATCCCAGATGTGTCCAGATGTGAAGTTGAGTTCTAATTGATTGGTTTTTGTCATGTATGAGGTTGGTGATCCTGCAGGTAACAGTCCATAGATTTGGATTCCGGTGATGTAAAGGAAACAACAAATCCCATCGCAACAATTGTGCTGAACACCGGAAAGAGATTTTCTTTGTTTAGAATTCCTGCAGTACAAAAATTAGGAGGTGTCTGTTAACCCTTTTCTGAATGCCAAATGTTATTACAATTTGTGAACTGCAGGAAATCATAAAGAAAAAAAAAAGGCCACCATTCTGATTTTTTGCCATCAGAGACTAAAATGGTTTTTTTTTCCTTCTGTAAAGAACAAACTGCTGCTCTAAGAAGCATAGACATTATTTTATGATCAGGGATTTATTGAAATAATGATTAGGAGGGCGTCTTCATGCTACAGTTAGAGGGACATGAAGAGGAGCCCCTTAGATTTTTTAATTTAAGGAACTTCCATCCCTTTGACTGAATTAAGTCTCTCCCCTAATTGGGATGATTGTTTGGGGTTCTCCTTCAATTATCTGCTCTTTCTCCCAATTCAGTTCCAGGATCCAACCTGGGCCTCATCATTGGCTGTTTTGCGATTAGTCTTGTCATGGTGTGTGGGATTGTTGGGACTTTGATATTCTTAAGTAAGTATCCTTTTTTGGTTGATTGAAGGAAAATGGAGAAATCCTCCTGAGTCTCTTGCTTTGGGGAATTATTTCTGGGCTCCATTTCCCCGTGATTTCCTAGTTCTTTTGTAGAGCATCTGAGATCTGGCCTCTTTGGGGGGCTTCAGTCTTGACTAAGTTTTAAGTCTGCAAGGCAGTATCAAGGGGATGATTTGTGACCTTTACATGTTAGCTCCAATTCAGAGCTGGGATCAGATGTAGCATCAGGTATGTGTGTGTGTGTGTGTGTGTGTGTGTGTGTGTGCGTGTGTGCGGAACACAAAAGCAGCTCCTAAAGTTGCAGAGTTGTGCTCTCTTTGTCTTTCTCCCAAGATCTAAGCTGAGAAAGGGGTGGGGGGGTACAGCACAGCCAAGCTTTTCTAGAGAATGGAGATTCCCAAGAAGGAACATCAGATATGTTCAGAGTTTTGCAGCATAAATTCAACAGCAGAAAAATAAACACAGATGACTGAGGCTTCATTTAACTTCTTTGTAAACAACTAAAGTAAATTTTACAATACCAGTTGTAGATTTCTCCAACATGGAACAAACTCAAACAGGAACAGACATGTTACAGGTTCAGAGCAGAACAGCAACAGCTTCAGCAGAAACAGACATCAGCTTTACTTTAGTTCAGCAGGCAAGCAAGACACACAGCAGAGGAGAGAAGCAGTTTCATCTTCAATAGACAGACTCAGAGCTTAACATAGCTTCAGAGCTGCAGAGCGTAATATAGATTCTATATAATATATAATTCTAGTTTCAGTTTCCAAACAGTCCTCATTGGCTGACTTAGTTGCTCTGCCTATTCATTGGCTGACTTTGTTGCTCTGCCTATTCATTGGCTGACTTTGTTGCCATGCTCTATTCCAGTTCATGAATATACTCTGACAAGATATAAGGCATTTTCAAAAAGGTGAGGCAAATCAGTTGTCTGGACGATCCTTCTCTCCGAGAAGCTGCTCTGCTTTCAAAGAATGCGGGTGGGAAAGGCTTGGCCATAACATGGTCAGGAGGAGGCTCCATAAAGGTAGTGATCAAAAGGAAGCGTTTTGAGAGAAAAAGAGCTTTGGTAGATGCCAGCTGGATCTCCTCTTTGTCTCCCACCACAAGGTTCTCCAAGTATGAACTGATTGGAAAAGGAAACCTTGCAGCCCTCTGTATCCTCAAACTGGTTGTGCCTCTGACTGAAGAATTCTTGGATTATTGCTCTTTGTGGAGCAAAGATAAATGTTAAGAATTCTTTCCTGTGTCTCTTAGGACATTGTTTGGTTCAAACTCTTTGGATATATTTATGTCTTTTAGTTTGTAGGTGCGGGAAGAAAGGAGGGATCTAGAGTCAGAAAGAGCTGAGTTTCTCCATCTCTTCCCATCCAACCAAGAAACTGACCTCCCCATTTTTCTTTTTTTCCCCAGGAAATCACCGACAAGGCCGGGGTGAGCCGCAGAGGGCCACTTCTTTCTGAACAAGACCAACTTTACATCTTACAGGAGTGCTTGGGGGATGGGGGAAATGAAAAGAAGGAGAAGATAGAGTTACGATACAGAAGGATCTTGTCAGACTTGGAACATTGGGTGCTATCTAACAAAATGAAATTCAATGGTGAAAAATGTAAGGTTCTACTTTTAGGCAAGAAAAACCAAATGCACAGGTATAGTATTGGTGGTACTTGGATCAATAGTACTACTCTTTGTGATATACGTATAAAATGAATCAACAGACTTTTGATAATCTGATCCATAGGATGCTTTATTGGGGAAAATACTGCAGTATGGACCCCTTTACTCCAGGAAAAAAAACCATTTTCTAGGAGGAAGGAGACATGTCCATTTAGTGAATACAGCTTATACAGGCTCATCAAATCACATGGTTACATAACACTTCCTGTTTTCCATATATGGAAGTTATACAACGCTTTCATAAGAAAGTTCCAACCTTCCATGGAAAACTCCCAACATTCTTATTATAGTCAGATTTCCTGTTATTCAAATTCCAGAAGATTATAAGAAAACCATTTTATCTTAATGTGACGTCTAATGTCAGAGCGCCCCAGCACATGCCTCTAACTTATGCCAAGTACAATAATAACCAAATTATCACCTATAACACTCTTGATCAATTGATCAATAACTTATCAACGGAGACTGAATGGAGCAAGTGGGCAGTTTTAAGTTTCTGTTACCCTAAAAGAGGACCTGATCTGGGATGCTCACATTGCAGCCCTGGTCAAAAGGGCCCAGCAGAGATTATACCACCTGAGACTTCTCAGAAAGCAACTGAATGAAAAACTGCTGGTGACCTTCTACCGCTGCAACCATAGAGAGTATCTTAACTTACTGCACCTCTGTATGGTTTGCCAATTGCACAGTGACAGATAAGACAGCACTCCAGAGGGTTAACGTCATTGCCCAGAAGATCATTGCTTGCCCTCTCCCCTCTTTGGAAGAGCTTTATAGCTCCCGCTGCCTTAAGAAAACTCAAAACATTCTCAAAGATCCATTTCATCCCGGGAACCCTTTTTTTGAACTGTTACCGTCTGGCAGATGGTACAGAATAATAAAATAAAGGACAAATAGACTGAAAAACAGCTTCTATCCCAGGGCAGTCTTTTGAATTCTGCTGTATAGTGCAGTGCAGTGTTGGTGCGGTGTTGGGGGTTTTCAATTTAATGTGTGGAGTGTGAAGGATGTGTGTTTGTGTTTATTTTCATAGTCATGATGTGCACTGAAGATGGTGTTTCGTTGCATGAGGTGCAATGACAGTAAAGTTAAACTAAACTAAACTAAACTATGAGAGGGATCTCGGAGTCCTAGTGGACAACCATTTAAATATGAGCCAGCAGCTTCCAGCAGCTTCCAGAAAAGCCGACACAGTTCTAGGCTACATAAACACAAGGATAGAATCAAGATCATGTGAAGTGTTAATACCACTTTATAATGCCTTGGTATACTTGGAATACTACATCCATAGTCTCATGAACGTGATCTGGATGCTTCTGGCCCACTTGTAATTATGATCAGTTGCCAATTGCCCCACGATCATGTTATCACCATTTGCAAATGTATCTGCTGGCTTCTCCCTAGAATCAATGGGCAACCCAGCAGAAAATGTTGCAAGCTGCTGCGACCTGCCAAGAGGACTCCCTCTCATCTCTGGGGGCGGATTGAAAGAACTGCCTGCCAAAGAAAGTTGAATTCCTTCAGATCTGAGCTCCGTTCCTGCAACTTGCTGGAGGAATTTCCTTCCATGCATGAAGGGGAACTGAACTGGGGAGGTTGTCAGGATTCCAACACTTAACCCCATTTAAATCATGAGTCTCTAGCCAAACTTCAAAAGAATTTATTGGGAGTTAAATGATGCGGCATTGCCTGGGTGTAGCCGACTCTGAGACACATCATTCATTGTCACCTTTGACCCTGGTTTTTCTCCCACCCCCTGGGTGTATCATTATTCATATTCTCCAATGGGACACATCCATAGCCAAGATCATCAATCATGCTCTCCAGTTAGAATTTTGT